TTGAAGAACCAGTCCCGCTGCCAGCAAGACCAGAGTCACACCCTGCTCACAGGGTGGCTGGCTTGCAGCTGACTCAGCCCTGCCCTCACACCCCATCTGGTGTGTGACTGGTCACATGTTAGTGTCACACGTTTGATCAGTGAGTGGCTGGAGCGTGAGGCCCACCCTGGTGTATAACTAGCTCTTGTGCGTGCCACACGTGCACCATGTATGTCACGCTGACCTTCCATTCACGCCAAACCCCCGCCCTCGTGGGCTCTTGCTAGGAACTGGAGTGCGAAGGACAGGAATTGAAATTAGGGGGGTGTTCAAATTTACAGGGGAGTCAGGGCCGATGAGGGGTGAGACCGAGAGGTGGGACAATGCAACACACCTGCAGGGTGGGGCCTGAGCAGGGATGGTCCGGAACAAAGACTCCTCGCAGGATTCTGCAGACCTGACAATAGCCCAGCCCGTCCCGCCAAGACCTGGTTACATCAGCCATGGTCAGTAGGAGGGATGGCTGGGGGTAACAACACTGCCATGCTACACACACACACACACACACGTGTGCATTAGCACAGCAGCCTGACACACACTTACACAATGACACACACATGCGCACACACACACGGATTAACTCAGCAGCCCGATACACACTAACACACACACATGCGCACACACGGATTAACATAGCAGGCCGACACACTAACACACACACACACATGGATTAACATAGCAGGCCAATACACGCATACACACTAACACACACACATGCGCACACACGGATTAACATAGCAGGCCGACACACACACAAACACACACTAACACACACACACATGGATTAACATAGTAGGCCAACACACGCATACACACTAACACACACGGATTAACAAAGCAGGCCGACACACACACACACACACACACACAGATTAACATAGCAGGCCGACACACACATACACACTAACATAGCAGCCCTACACATGTGTACACTAACACGTACACATGCGCACACGGATTCACCCAGCAGCCCCCTCCCAGAAACACACACACAAAGATGTGCATTTTACACAGCTGCCCGCCCGCCCACCGCACATACGCACGTGTGCATTCCCACGCCAGCCCAGCGCGCATACATGCGTGTGCATTAGCACAGCAGCCTGACACACACTTACACACTGACACACATGTACACACACACACGGCTTCACTCAGCAGCCCGATACACACTAATACACACACGCGCACACACAGATTAACAAAGCGTGTATGTGTGTGTCAGCCTGCTACTTACACACACACACACACACACACACACACAGATTAACATAGCAGGCCGACACACACACACACAGATTAACATAGCAGGCCGACACACACACACACAGATTAACATAGCAGGCCGACACACACACACACAGATTAACATAGCAGGCCGACACACACACACACAGATTAACATAGCAGGCCGACACACACACACACAGATTAACATAGCAGGCCGACACACACATACACACTAACATAGCAGCCCTACACACGTGTACACTAACACGTACACATGCGCACACGGATTCACCCAGGAGCCCCACCCCAGAAACACACACACCGAGGTGTGCATTTTACACAGCTGCCCGCCCGCGCACGGAATCCCACGGCAGCCCGGCGCACACACGCGCGTGCGTTCCCACAGCAGCCCAGCGCACACACACGCGCGTGCGTTCCCACGGCAGCCCGGCGCACACACGCGCGTGCGTTCCCACGGCACAGCCCGGCGCACACACGCGCGTGCGTTCCCACGGCAGCCCGGCG